CTGAAGCTGACCTTCCAAGCATGCAAACTCTACTGCAGAGAGTGCAGCTCTGATGTCCTGGCCACATTGTTCAAATGCCAAACATACATTTGCCTAAAAGACTATTCCATGGAAACTCACACAAGGCAAGTGCTTCCATGGAAGTCAGAAGAAGCAATAGAAGGACACTCTCAAGGACTCTCTGAAGAACTTTGGAAATCAATTGTATGACGTGGTAGATACTGGCACAGGACCACAAAGCATGGCATGCCCACATCAAAAAAGATGCCATGCTCTCTGAGCAAAGCAGAATTGCTGTAGCTCAAAAGAAATGTGAAATGTGCACATTTAGAGACAACTCCATTCCATCTGTTCACATGGACTATTTGTGCCCAATCTGTGGTAGAGTGTTCTAAGCTCATATTAGTCTGATCAGCCACAATTGGACACTTTGTATCTTGACCCCAATATAGTGATGTCATTTTTGGTCCTCTTTGAGAATGAAGGCCAATAACCAATCCCTTCCCGTCAAACACTAGTCCCACAATGAACATACATAGAAATTAGCCAAGAAACCCATTTATACAATTCAGTAGTAAAACAAATCAGAGAAAGTATACATGTGAGAATATATATCAGACAATACAAAGTGAATAAGCTCTCCCATTGGGATTGAGGTAACTCAACTCAACCAAGCGAGTTGTGCTTTCATCCAAGGGGAAGTTCCTTGACATACTTATTTAGTGTAGTAAGCTGGGGATAAGGACATGATGGCAACTACCAGTTCCTCTCCTATCTTCCCAGAGTCTTTTCCTTCAGCAATCTTAAATAGGGTTGGCCTCCTCTACCATCTCTCTTAGAAGTTGGAAGCCAGAAGCATCCTAAGTGACTCCATATTTGAAAAGATCAAAAGAATCCTGAAGAAGACCAGAGATCTCCTATTTTTTCTAACTCTGTCCTGTTCCTCACTTCTCTGCAATGAGGAAAGAGTCACATACAAATCGATTTTGGGATAGGAGTTACACTTTGTTTATATCCTCAGTGCTTAGTATAGTGTATGGTAGATAGCAGGTGCTTAATAAATATTTAATGACTGACTGAAGATACAAAGACCAAAATGAAATAGGCCCTGTCTTCAGGAAGCTTGCATTTTTCTGGGGGATACAACATGTGTACAACTGAGATAATACAATGCAGTACAAAGTAATTTGGAGAGGAATAGAGTCCTAGTAACTGGTACATACAAAAAGGCCAATTTGTTCTTTCATGCTTGTTTTGTAATTTCTGATTCCATTGAGAAATTATATTGGTATTAGTATTTTTTGTCCACAATGAAGATAAAAATAATTATAAAAATAACTTGATTCTCACAACATTCTGTAATTCAGATTATATACATATGTGTGTGTATTTATACGTACACATGCATATATGTGATATATATGATCACATTCTCAATTCAGGAAAGCTGCCATATTAAGTTTCTTCTATAGCTTCTATGTCAGTTATTCAATAATTCTTGGTTTGGAATGAATGAATGAATGAATGAATGAGCATTATGGTGGGGAAAACACTGTGCTAAGTGCTGAGGGTATAAATAGAAAAGCAAGACAGTGTCCCTTTTCAAGAATGGAAGAATATTCCTAGAAGAGGTTTCAGATGCAAGTCAAATGGAAAGGCCTTAGTGTATAGTCATAGCAAGTAGTTATCTTATTTTGTTATGGCATAAAACCACAGATAAAACCATATCCATTTCTGATGTTGATCCATTTGATGGTGCCAAAAACTATGGTGGTGAAGATTTTCAGCTCTTCGGCAGTTACCGAAGCTGAATCTCTACAGTGGTTGCTTCCCTATAATAACCACCCCTAAGTTCTCAAAACAAAACTAATTTTAATTCACTTTGAATAACATTTTTAAAAAAACCAAGTATGTCTCATATCTGCCCAATAAAGTTCCCCTCTGCTGTCTCATTAACATGGAGGTGATTTGGGTGCCTGAAGGTTAGGCCAATGGGGCACCAACTCTGGTTGGTACATTCAAACTGGAAGGGCTTTGAATGTGGTCCTATCAATGGGCTGCATTGTAAAACCTTTAAATGTTAGCCAGAGGATTTTATATTTGATTCTAAAGGTAATAGGGAGCCACTAGAGTTGAGTGTGTGTGTGTGTGTGTGTGTGTGTGTGTGTGTGTTGTGTGTGTGTGATATAGTCTGACCTAATTACCTTGGCAGATATGTAGAAGGTAGATTGGAGTATGGAGAGACTTGAGGCAGAGACATCAATAAAAAGGTTACTGCAATAGTCTGGTCAGGAGGTTATGAGGGCTTGTATTATGGTGGTATTTGTGTAAGTGGAGAGAAGGAGATAGATATATATGTATATATGTACACACACACATAGATATCTCGACAACAGATGTAATACATAGAAGTCAGTGGGAACAGGAGAGTGGAGGTTCTTACCAAAACTTGGATGACTAGGTGAAAAGTGTTTCTCTTGACAGTAATAGGGAAGTCTAGAAGAGGAGACAGTATGGGGAGGAAAGACAATGAGTTCTCTTTTGGATAGGTTGACTTTAAGACACCTATGGGATATCCAGAATAGAGAACATAAATTTGTAATAAACCCAGTTAGCAATGATATCACTTCCCTTAGTGTCATGTAGCAGCACATGAATAGGAATAGACACGGCAAACGGTGGGTATAATTTAGGGCTGAAATCCGGAAAATAAGGAGCAATGATTTTTCTCTCATCGTTTTTCCTCTTTATTGCCAGAGCCACACTTAGTAATTTTGTTGTGGTTGTTCAGTCATGTCCAACTCTTTAAGATTCTTTCTGGGGATTTTCTTGGCAAAGATACTGAGGTGATTTACCATTTCTTTCTTCAGCTCATTTTACAGATTTGGAAACTGAGGCAAACAGGGTTAAGTGATTTGCCCAAGGTGACAAAGCTAATAAGTGTCTGAGGTCAGCTTTGAACTCAGGTTTTCCTGACACCAAGCCTAGCATTCTATCCACTAAGCTACCTAGCTGCCCCACCATTTGGAATAGATTTATGCTATTGTCACTTAGCTATTGTAACAGACAAGGCTTTTTGCCTCTTCTCTTTCCTTCCTCCAATCCATACCATATATCTCTGCAAGAACACTGGTTTGTAACAGTATGGTTGGTTATAATACTCCTCTACTAAAAAAATCTTCAGTTTCTGCCCATTTTGCTACAAATTAAAGTTTATGTTTCTTAAATGGGCGTTCAGGGCCCTCTGCAATATGGTATCACCCAATTGTAGAGTGGTGACTTTTTATGGGTAGTGATATAGGACAAAAAGTTTCTAATTTGCTCTGCCCTCTTTGCCCTCTCCCCACCCTCCAACTTTGCTAACTGAAACCTCTGGAGTAGTGATATGCATAATCCATGATTATTATTGGCATCATAGGAGTGAAGACTGGAAAGGAATTTTCTCATTCTCAGTTAAATATAGAACAAAAGAAACACAGTGGTAGCTCACATACAATCAAAGAAGTTCAGAAATAGACTTAAAACGTTCAAGGGCTTTTCTAGCAAGCTGGTTGGTTTCTATCCCAAAAGAACAGATGATAACTATAAACTTAGAGTCAAAAAGATTCTTTCCCTGTGGGGGAAAATGATGTTTTTTTATCTGAATACCAGCAGAGAGCAATGGAGAACAACAATGGCTCCATGTAGCCTCCAAGAAAGACCAGTAGATATTAGCGTGATGCTATCACTAGAGGACATCTATAGCTCTGCAGTGTCAGAACTCTGAGCTCCCTAGGCTATGTATGGTGTATAGACATAGGTAACACACGTGGCCAGAGAAGACACATGGCCTAGGCAACCCATACCGGTCTGATACCCTAAAGCTGTCAGTGTTTTCTGCTTATTTTTTCACATTGCTTATTTTGATTGTGGGGTCTCTAGATAGCCAGACTATCTGGAGACAGACAATAGGGAGACATTCAAGGTATCACGACAAGGGCAGAGCTATATTTGAAGGCAATCAGTTTGGCTGCTGTGCAAAGGATTGACTGGGAAGTTAAGAGAGGAGGAAAGGTAACATGTTAGGCGGCTATTGCAAGAGTCCAAGGGAGAGGTTATGGGGATCTAAATTAAGGAGAGGCTGTGAGGGAGGGAAAATGGGATGTATATGAGAGCTATTGTGGTGGTAGGATCAACAATGATTGGCAACTGATTGGATATGTGTGTTGAGGCTGAGAGAAGAGTCAAAAATGACTTCAAGGTTGTGGACTTCAATGAAAGGCAGCAGAATGCTTTTGGACTCTCAGCAACAGGATGAGATCATACCTATGTCCATCCTAAGCCAATCACTGGATTTGGTCTTTAAATGTGTTTTATACTGCCTAAAGCTAAAGCAACTCCATAAATACTAAGTAGTCTGATGATAAGATTCAGAATGTAGGTAGAGTACCTATTCAGAACTGCTCTGGCAGCTTTTCCCAGCACAAGGTCATTTGCAAGTGGGTACTAAGCATTTTGGACAGGAGCAAAATGTGGTCCAGTAATAAAAATTGCTTCTGAGATTTATGAATGAAATATGTTGACTTCAATAGTAATTCTTAAGATAAAATGCAAGAAAGAGAAGTTACCATATGACCTCACTCATCCTCTCCCCAACACCCCCATCCCTGTCCACAATCAGAAAAAAAAAATCTCATTACTAGAACCTAAGACTGAGTAACATTCTCAGTATAATGTGAAATAATGTTAAAAGGGAAAACACATATATAGCTTTTAGGAAAACACCAGCATTCTCACAATCAGAATCCTATCTTGAAAAAAAAAGTTAGTATAAGATCTTTAACTATTCCCACTGCATCTTACAACTTAACCTTTTCAAATCATCTTTTCTGAGGACTGAAATTTCCTGGCACAAAATTGATTATACTTTGTTAAGTGACTCAATTGGATTTTTTTCTTAAAAAAAGGTGGTCTAAACTTACATAGAAAAAGTGGTGTCAATTTGATGTCAGGGGTTTTCCATGATCGAAAGGGAATTTATAGAAGACACGATTTAAGAGGAGAGCCTGCAGACTTAGTTAAACATTGAAGAATCAAAGATGTTCTTCCACGGGCTTTACCTTTCCATCTTGCTTTTGTCAGTGAGTGGAACCCCTGCTCAAGTCCAGAACCAAATGAGGTTACATAGAAACTCAAGTACAAGTGGGAACTTCTGCTCAAGTCCGGAACCAACTGAGGTTACACAAAATCTCATTGAGCGTTTGGAGGTATGTTCAGGAGGGCTGGTGTTTTTCATGGTGAACGATTTGAAGCTAAAAATAAGACTGAATTCAACGTGATTTTTTTTTCTAATTTAGAAAGAGACTGCTGCAACATGCAATTGCAGTGCCAATGTAAGTGAATGGGTCAGAATTTTTAAGCCCTGTTGATATTTTTCTGTTGTCAAGTATCACTTAACAGAATCTTATCTTTAAATATCTCTTTTGCAGGTGACTGACTGTTTATGTCTTCCTGTATCTTCTGTAAGTATGACTTCCTATGTCTTCTGTGAGAAAAGCACTATATAGACTATACTTACTTATTTTCAAATATTCATTTTTGAATTGCATTCATCTAAAAATTTAATGTTAGTAAATAATTGTAATGATAATGATAATGATAGCTACAATTACATGTGTTTTGATGTCTGCAAAGCAATTTATAAAGATTATCACTTTGCTGTTTTTTGTCAAAATTCAGAACTCATGAGATGAGCATAGAGAAAAAGTTTGGTACCAAAATACCTGGTTTCAAATTCCACTTCCTTCTCCACCTAGGAAACAATGGGGAAATTATTTAGCCACTTTGGTTCTCAGTTGCTTCTTTTGTAAGGTCCAGAGTGGTTGGACTAGATGGTCTTCTAAGGTCTCTGTCAACTATAAACCATATGATTCTGGATACAGCATAAGAATGAAGCCTTCATTTGTAGCCAGCCTCATAAAATTTAAGAGATTAAAATACTGATTGTGGTATTTTAAAGTAAACAGCATCTTTCAAGATTAATGTCAGTATTTACTATTCAAATAAAACTTCAAAGTATGAATGAAAAAACCAAGAATCCAGTGCATAGGCAGTACTTTTTTCTTCTTTACCACATTACTCACTTCCTCATAGTGTAATGGAAATAGTCAATATTCTACCTCTTGTCTGGCATCAACTGCCATGTGAGTCTGGATTTCTGCAATTTTAAATCTATTTCATGGCTATAATGTTTCCTTTGTTGACAATATAGAATTGGAAATGTTGCCATTGCCACTGGAAATTGGGGAGAAAGTGAAGATTTTAATTTTGGCAATTTTAATCCTACTCTCAATTTCTGAATGGTGTACAATGTTTCCAATTGCCTATATTTGTCTTTCCCTCTCATCTTGCTATTTGTCCCTTCATTTTTTTCTTTCATCTTGTCCTGTCTCTACCAAAAACTCATAGTGTAGCATAGGAAGGTGAGTGGCATGGTTAGAGCTGAAATCAGAAAGCATTCATTTTTTTTTCTGCACTTCAAGTACCAGGGGAATTGTCAGAGAATTTAAGGTGTCTACCCTGGTTAGCCTTCATACTTCCACAATGATCCTAAGATTCCTTCCCAAATAATTCCAAGAATGCTACTTTAAAAGTAAAGGGGACTAATGCACTTAGAATCAGAGATTTAGAGCTGAAAGGAATACTAAAAGTCATCTAGTCCTGTTCTCTCATTGTATAGATGAAATACCTAAGATCTTAAGAGGTTAAGTGACTTACCCAAAGTCACAAATGGAGTCAGGAACTAGAGCAGTACTTGAATTAATTCATGTCCTCCAGTGTCCCTTCCCATTGCATTGTGTTACCTCTTATTTATTTAAAAGAAAACATAACACATATTTGGGGCAGTTAGGTGATACAGTGGATAGAGCACAGGGATTAAAATCAGGAAAACTCATATTTTTGAGTTCAAATCTGGCCACACAGCAAGTCACTTAACCCTGTTTGGCTCAGTTTCCTTATCTGTAAAATAAGCTAGAGAAGGAAATGACAAACCACTCCAGTGTCTTTGCCAAGACTGAACAACAACATAATGTATGTTTATAACTTCTGTCCTTGAATTTAATATTTCTTGATTTTTAAAAATAGTCAAACACTTAAGTTATGGCACAGAGATTTCTTTCTTTTTTAATATATTTCAAATATAAAGAGGCTTTTTTTTTTAGTGAATCAACTTTAGTGAGGTAGAAAGAATATTAGGCTGAGTTTCAGAAGGCCTAGGTTTGAGTCCATACGACTTTTGTGGCAAGAAGAACTCTAAAGCTTAGTTGTCTCATCCATAAAAGGAAGGAATTATGTTAGATGATCTCTAAGGTTTTGTCCAGCTCTAAATCCTATGCTCCCAACAGTTGGAAAGTATAAGGATCTGATAAAAAGTAAGCTCAGACCCTGGTTGTCACCAACAACCCTTCTTCTCCCTGAAGTACAATACTGAGAATTTTTTTCTAATGAGGTATTCCTGGGAAAATGACGATGGATTTAAATATTGACAATACCTGAATTGCCAAATTCTTAATGCAAAAATGGACATGCTCTATATCGAGATAAAATGTAGTAATTTGTTATATTAAAATTCTGACTGAAGTCCTGCTAAAATTTTGTCCTTTTGGTTACACAAGACCGTATAATATATTACAATATACTGTAATATAATGTGATATCATATCATATTGTATGATGTGATGTGATGTGACGTGACATGACGTGACATGAAATGACATGACATAACATAACATATACCATAATATGATATGATATAACAAACTGTAATGTAATGTTTCAGCAGAACAGCTGTAGCACATCGTGCTTTCAGTATGGGCTGACAAAGATGTCTGACACATTGAAACCAAGTTATAGTCGAACCATCTTTAGAGTGCAGAGTTATGTCGGGCAGCTAAGGCGCCTCAAATGCAAAGTAAGTTTCTTTCTTTCTTTTTTTTCTTCCTATTATGAACTGTTGTTTGTGATTTTATCTGACTTTGAATGCCAGATAAATTTTTCTGGCCACAAGTAATAAAGTTGGTTTTGGTGGCTTATTGTTGTCTAAAGAGGTTTAAGAATTCCAATATCTGAAAAAAGCTCATTTTTATATTATTTTAAGATTTGCAAAGCACTTTCTAAATAGCAATCTTGTGAGTTAGGTAGTTTTGGTAATACAACACCCACTGAATAAAGAAGAAAATAGAGGCTCTGAAAATGACTTGCCTAGGATCCCATAGCTAATAAGTGTTTGAGCAGAATTGGATGCTAGGACAAAATAGTGTGCTTAGAGCCAAGTCTTATTACATAATACTACCAGTGTGCCTCCAAAAAACATCAGAAGGCCAGGCCTTTAATCCTTGAAGTGTGGTCTTTCTTTTTATCCTTTAGCTTAGCCCAGTATCCGTCATATAATAAACACTTAATAAGTGCTTGTTGACTGGCTAGAAGTAGTATCTGTATTAAACAATCAATTAAATATTATCACAGCCAATGTAGCCAATGACCTCCTAGCTGCTATAGGAAAATGGACCAATCCAGTGCCACTATAATTGTCAGTTAAAGTTCTGAGAGTCTGGACCCTAAAACAAACAAACAAATCATAATACTAAATTATTCCCTAGGTGTACAGTAATCAGTATTATCAACACTAATGCTAATCAGTATTACCAATAATCAATACTTGGTCCAGGGACAGAAGTTATAAAGAAAGAGGAGTAAACCAGCAGGCTTCTCAACTGCAGGAAAATCACAAGCAAGTGAAATTTTAATATAAAGCAAAGAAAGTTAGGCTTCTAATTTTACTTCTAAAACTTACAGTCACTCACATGGACTCCCCGTTCTGTGAGTTTTACAAACATCCCCTACTTGGAAGGGTCACAAATGCTGGTGATACTGACAGAGCAAGGAAACTATTCTATTACAGTGATTCAGAGAAAGTTACAAGTAATATCCCAGGTCTAAAGCCTGCAAATCTTGGATATAAATGTCAGCTTCCTCTAACTTTTAAAGAGAATTACCAAGAGTATTCTGAAGGTCTGCCTCAGGAGAAATGTCTATTCTAGTTATCCTATTTTAGTTATATTATAAACAAATGGCTTTCAGAAGCACCTTTCTTCTGAAGCACATTTCACACCAATCAGCGCTTTAAATCTTATAAGTTGCATTACGTTCATGATCCAGTCAGATCTTTCTGACATAGTTATGTGAGCTAGGTAATACAGGCGTATTCATCTCTCCTTTTCAGATGAGAAACTGAGGCTCAGAATCACAGAATCATAGATTCAGAGCTGAAAGAGACCTTGGAGGTCATCTGGTCCAACCTCTTCATCTTATAGATGAGAAAACTAAGGTCCAGGAACAATTCTATGACTTGCATATGGCCCTATGGTTAAAAAGTGTCAAAGGCTAGTTATACACCCAATTCTTCCTGACTCAACTGAGTACTGTACCTTACTGTGCCACACTATATCTACATAAGTAATTTTCTGATCTTTTAAATTGTATAAGACTATAAGCATATTAGCTGTCACTGTTTGACCTGAGTGACTGAGGGGAAGGAAGAGAAGAAGACGCAGCATCCTTGATCTAACTTCTAGGTTAGTAAGTAGTGCAGCCGTGGCAGTGATCTTTCTAGAAGAGTGTAATGGGAAAGTGAGCACACACGGATCAGAACACACACAGTTTATTGCCTAAAGCTTTCTGTGTATGTGCCAAGAAGACACTGGAGGGTTAGTCAGGGTACCTCCTGGTCAGTTGACTTGGGACAGTGGAAAGTGTGCTGAATTTGGAGTCAGAGGATCTCAGTTCAAATTCTAATTCAGCTACTTGCTACCTTTGTGATGTGGGCAAGTCACTTAATTTCTCTGGGCCCCAGTTTCCTCATCTGTAAAATGATGGAGCTGGATCAGATGCCAGAAAATACTAGAACCAACTCTTACTGGCTGGAGATCTTACTGGTGGAGAACAGATTGTAAAATTATCAGTGTAAGCACTTACACCTCTGAAATCAGCAAAGGCTCCCAAATTAGGGCTTTATTTATTGGTTTGTTGATTGTCTAGAATAAGAAAAGAGACGTTGAAAATGTTAAATATGCCAATTAAACTTAAAAATATGTCCTATGATTTTTTTCCCCCCAGGAAGCCTATTCTTAAATATTTGCCAGAGCATCCCCACCAGATAATTGCTAAGGTTCCTTCCAGTTCCAACATTAACCCTTTCTAGTGTCAGATAACATTGACATGTTCTCTCAGAGTTTTGCTTTGTTATAAAAATGTGACTGAGGCATGAGGGGCTAAAATGAGGTCTTTAATGAAACTAAATGGGCATTCTAAAAGTCACCTAATGCTTCTTTTGATAAAACAAGGAATTGAGATATTAAATGATTAGTTCTAGGACATCAGCCCTGACAAAATTATTGAAGTGTGTGATTTGTGTTTTGTGCCATTCCATCTCTTTTCAATGACCATTCTCTCCGACTTAGTCCCAAGTCTGGAGGCCATTCCAGGAGGACTACCAATTCATTCCAGTTGAAACGTTAATGTAAGGTGTTCACCTCCTATCAGGGGAATTTGTATTTTGTTAAAGGACTCTGAAAGAGGAAAACCATACAGGGAATGGATCTCCAATGGTATGATTCATGGTGGATTTCGAATCAAGAAGACTTGGGTTCAGATTCTACCTCTGACACTTTTTAGGCTAAGTGACCAAGGACAGCTTGGTCTCTTGAGATTAGTTTTCCCATCTGTAAAGTGGGGCTAATAATACCTGTGGTACTTGCCTTACGTGATTGTTTTCAGGCTTAATAAAATATTTTACATAAAGAACACTCAAAAATTTAAGCTTCTACAGAAGTATCAAATTATTATCGTTGGTATTCTTGTTGTTGTTGTTGTAATTACTAGATCAAATTTCACCCGGTTCCTAAGCTAGTATGATTCTTACTGAGCAGTATAAACTGGGCATGATAGATGCAGAAACTCTAAATTTGCTCTATTTTCTTTCTGCAGCCTTTTTCATGTTACCAGCCATGCAATGAGACCTTCACTGCTAACACAATGGAGTTTCTGAAGGCTCTCCAGGAAAACTTCCAGAAAGTACCTATTTCTAACAACTAATGAACAAGCAATTACTATTTAACATATTTATTATCTAAATAAATCATCCTACTATAATTATTGCACTGAAATAATTAACGTTAAAGTCCAAATGAGAATCTTGAGTTTAAAGAAGCTTTGATAATTTGTTTGAAAGCTGCTCTTTCCATTTTGTAATAAAAAATACAAACAAAAAAAAATTTGAGTGAGTTAATCTAAGTGAGTATCTTCTATCACACTCTTTCTTTAAAAAAAAACCCTATGATTTATTTATTTTAACATTTTTTTCTTTTTAAAATTTGAGTTCCAAAGTCTCTCCACTCTCCCATCTGCTGAGAAGGCAAGCAAAATGATATCAATTATACACATGAAATAATGAAAAAACATTTCCATATTAGTCATTGACAAAGAAAAAGCAAGAAAAAAAGCAAGAAAATTATACTTCAATTACACTCAAAGTTCTTTCTCTCTGGATATGGATAGCATTGTCACTCCCTTTCAAAGCAAAGAACAGAAATAAGCCCCACAGCATATTTTAATGGGTCTGATAGGAATTTCAGGATAACGAACATTCTTATTCCAAACAAATGGCTAGAAAACATAATCTAAGAGTGGGATTGAAGAGTACCTGGTTATGAAATTGGGTAAAAGAAGAAGCTTACTGCTTGCGGAGGGGTTTAGACCATGTATGTGTGAGGTGAGGGAAAGGAGTGCTACACTACAGCCAAGCAGGTAGGGGATCTGTGTCCTGGAACATATCTTTTTTGCCACAGTTCTTTTGTTAATCTGCCTAATGCTCTCACTACCTAGGACAGTCAGCCAACAAGCATTTATTAAGTGTTTACCATATTATAGGATGGTCAGCTAGATGACACAGTGGATAGAGTGCCATGCTGGGAGTCAGGAATACCACAGTTCAAATCCTGCCTCAGACACTTACTAGTTGTATGATCTCAGGTAAGGCGCTTGATTTGTTTGCCTCGGTTTCCTCATCTTTAAAATGAGCTGGAGAAGAAAATGGCAAACTACTCCAGTATTTTTGCCAAGAAAATCCCAAATGGGATCACAAGGAGTTGGACACAACTGAATGACAAATATTTCAGGCACCATAATACATGCAAGAGAAAGGAAAGGAAACAGTCCCTGCCTGCAAGCAGATGACATTCTAACGTAAATAACTAAATAGGTGCAGGATGTGTGCAAATGATGAAGGTAATCTGAAATGGAAAGACAGTAGCAGCTGCTGGGACTGGGAAAGGCCTCTTACTGAAGGTAAGATTTGAGTTGAATTTTGCCACATAGCTGCCTCCTAACATGCTACAGAAATGTGTTCTTACTACTGTTACGATTACATTATTTTTCAATCTGGGAGAAAGTGCTGGTGACAGGAGTCAAAGCGAAGAGGACTGTAGGATCAGACCTGGAAAGAGCCCCAGAGATTATCTAGTTCAACTCCATCATTCTATGGTTGAGGAAACTGAGCCCCAAGGAGATTGTCATGTAGGTAGGTGTCAGAGGTATTATTTGAAAACATATTAATGCATCTAGTTTCCAATATCCAGAGGCACAAGGATTTTGGAGTGCTCTAGATAGAAGTAATCATAGGTCACAGAAAGCTAGATATGCAAATTGGCATTTGGGAGTACTCCCAATCTTGGACCCTGCTGTGTGATTCCTTAATATGAAATTTTCTTGCCTTGGTTCCTGTTTTCCCCACCAAATGAATATTGGGTGACACCCTTCCACCTGGTCCCTGATTTCTTCTCTAATAACTTAATAGGCTTTAAAATCTAAAAAGATCTCACAGATGATCTAAAGCATTTTATCCCTAATTTTACAGATAGCCAAGGCCCAAGTGACTTAGACAACTTGTCCAAGGTTGTCCAGGAATAAGATTTGGATGCAGGATCTCTAACTCCAAACCTTGTGCTTCCCCCTCTCCCTCATTCCTCTACACCATGCTCCCTTCCTGTGTTAGGATTTTCTTGGTGTAATTTCTTGGCTTGTACTCTCAGGATCTATCTTGTTGGCTCTGCACTCCATCCCTATCCCATAAGAACCTTCCTTGATTAGCCATTGTTTTCTCTGAAAGCTGATCCTGGCTTAGCCTTGATCTGTCTCTGCCTCCACAGGTGCACAAGAGAGGTCCCTTCTGCTTCCAGTTCTGGAATTAACAAAGAATTTTAGAATATAGAGATCTTGGAGACACAGCTCCTTTACCTGCCTGACTTCAGCCTGCTCTCTCAATCATAGGAAAAATACCCTCTGGGAAGGAACCTAATGGAGCACTTAGCACAGCGTCTGTCTCATAGTAGACAGTTATGTTTACTGACTGACTAACATTTCTTAGAATGTCCAATTCCTCCTCATTTTACACAAGTATTAAATATCTGAGGTAGTTCTGGAATCGGTTCTTTCTAACTTTAAGTCTCATGTCCTATCTACTTCACCATGCTGCCTCAGGATCCCTTGGCAGAATTTACCCAATAGGAGATTTGTGTAATTAATCTTCTGAGTTAAAGAGAGAATTTATAAGCTGCCATTTTTTCTCAGGGACTTAAACATCTATGCTGACAGGCTCTCTGGCAGCCTGACCACACAATTCTTCAGTTTCTTCAGCTTCAGTGATATTCTCTGACTTGATGTTCTACAATTTTAATGCTTTACTAGCATTAAACCTAGAATCCCTAGGCTCTCCTCCCCAACCCCCACCAATTTTTCACTGTTCCTAACTTCCAAATCCTCATCTTTGGATTATTTCCACAGCCTGACTTCTTATCCTTCTCTAAGGCTATTACTGAGTGTTGATGGAGAAAAATCATTGAAATCTATTAGGCTTTGTCCATTACAAATTTATCATAACCTCAGTGGGGCATTCCTTGCTGCTCAGAAATCCTACCCTACTTCTTTAACAATTCCTTATTTCATCCTCAAATCTTTTCTTCTGTCCTATTGCCACCAACCCCTCCTCATCCTCCTATATCTTAATTGGAAGCATCCTATTTCCATGAGATGGAGGGTATCCATTATGAACACACTTAGCTTTACCCTCCATTCCTCAGATCTTTTCAGCATTATCACCTTCTCTGCTCTTCCCCTCCCATCATAAAAGAAATGTCCCTACTACTCACTTAAGCTAATCTTTCTACCTGCACCTTTGATCCCAGTGCTGCCTGGCCATCCTCTGTCTCTAGCATCTTCAATCTCTCCCTGAAATTTCTCCTCCCTGCCTGTCTATAAATGTGCTAAAGTCTTCCCAGTATGGAAACATTCTTTCTTTGATCCCTCTCCCCCATCTATTTATGATATTGTCTATCTCCTATTCCCTACTAAATGCTTTTTAAGGGCTGTAATATTCCTAATGCTTCTCTTCAACTTTTCTAGAGAAATTCTTTTTCCCTAAGGTCACCAGTGACCCAATATTTGACAAATATAATGACCTTTTGCTCAGTCCTCATCCTCCTCACTTGTCCACAGCATTTGACATTGCTGCACAATTGTATCTATAGCTGATGCTGATTACTTGTGGATTCTGTGTCTGCCACTTTGCCCACATGCTAAACTTATTTGTAAGCCTGAAACCAATACTCGTAGTGCTTTTGTGGTCAGTCATAGACATGAATAGATTAGCAAAAAATCCGAGTCATTCAGTATGCATATTCCCAGCTCTCATAGTCGATTTTTAAAAGCCTATTTAGTGCCATTTTCATATTTTTGTACTTTTTGTTGATAATTTCACTCTTTAAAATGATCCCCAATTGTAGGGCTAAACTGTCATACAATAATATATATATATATATATATATATTATATATATATTATATATAATATATATATATATATATGTACACACACATATGCATATACACATGCATATATGTATATGTGCATACACACATATATGTATATATGTGTGTGTGTATATATGTGTGTGTGTATGTATGTATGTATGTATGTATGTATGTATGTATGTATGTATATTACCTGGAAGAAGGCTGTGATGTGCCTTATGTAGAAAAGTGTGTTAGATAGCTTCATTCTGGCACAAGTTATAGAGCCACTGGCCATGAGTTCAATGCTAATGAATAAACAATATTGTACATTCAGGAAAAAGGAAGAGGAAATTCACTGATCTACAGGTGAGGCCTCTCTAGGAAGTGCTAAAGTAAATATGACCAGGGACTCAAAGGATCCTAATCCTGTATTTCCCCTAGGAGGTTCAATATTCACTAATTCAGTGGCTTTGCTTTTGAGATGACTTTATAGAACAAAATTACCATAATTGATGAGATGTGACCATACCATATGCTGTCTCCTTCCTAATCTTCAGAGATAATACACTCTTTCTAGTCACTCTACTTCTGTAAATACTCCTTCCCTGTCTCCTTCACTCTCCAAGGATCTGTCCTTTGCTAATCAGTTAGTCAACAAGCATTTATTAAGTATTTACTATGTGCCAGGAGCTGTGCTAAGTTCTACAAGACAATAGGTAAATAACTAGACACATACAAAATATATAGTGTGAATGGAAGATAATCTCAAAGGAAAGGCACTAGTAGTAGTGGGAAGGGTAGAGAAATGGAACCAGAGGTCTTTTTTTCAAAAGGTCTATTCCTTTCTCTACACTCTCTCCATTGGCACAATCGTTTATTTCTATTCTCATGGCTTTGACTATGACTTCTATGCAGCTCACTCCCAAATCTTTTTATCTATTTATCTTTTCTCAGCTCCAGACCCTCATCTGTGACTTCCATAAAGACATTTCTAAATGGATGTACCACTGGCAACTTCAGACTCAACATATTCTAAGCCTAAAGATGTTACCACATGAAGTGTCAACCTGCTCCTCATTTTTACTTCTGGTGCCAATATGTACTCTAACTCACATGCTCATTACCTCAGGGTTATCCATCAATCAACAGGATGAATATGGTTCTCCAATAAAAAGATGCAAAAAGATACTTTTCTTTGCAGAAAAGGGACTATAGGTATGAAACATTGTATATTACATTAGACTGAGT